ACAGACGATAGTTCATTCGGAAAATTGGGTGTTTTTCCCTAATATGTCTTCGCTCTTCTTTTATAGTTTTTCTTCATATTTTTTCATCGTTGTTTTGCGACACATCTACGTTAGGAAATCAACCAAAGCTTCATTTTCTTTTTTCTGGATGTTTGGTTTTTAAACGTACAAAGGCAAATTGACGTTTTAAATGGAGGTGATTGAATACATATGTGGCCTTTATAATGACTCCCACTGGCCTACCGATGTATCAAGCCAGTGCTGCTTTCGTCCCATACTCGCAGGACTCGACGAAAATGTGATCTCCTTGTCAGTGTGCGAGGAAAACCAATATAGTTTACGTTCATTTGTCTTCAGTGCTGTGAAAATTGTGGATTCGAGAACTTTGAATTGAGACATGAAACTTATTCATGTCATATAGCTTGGGAAGTTCTTTGTGGGTTTTTGTGATTTTGAGATCGATCACTGGTATTAATTTACGAACCAGTTTTTTTTTCGAAGCACTAAATTAAATCCTCAAACAATTTGTGTCTTTCTTTGAATTAGGTTGAAAATCTTACTTACTTACTGGATACTTGCAACCCATCCTCACTAGTTGTACGGGCCCCAGCATAATCACCACTTTTTGGAGATTTGCTAGTTAAGCCATTGTGGTTTCTTGGAATCACGAGGACATCCTGGCCAAAGCCTGCCCTTGGTCTTCACCATCACCAGCGCAGGCAGTCGCAGCCTTTGTCTATCAGGGAAATTTGCCACCATGCGACTTTGATACCAGGACGGTGGTGGATCCTGGTATTGGTTTACTCTTAGCTAAGCTTCCTGATGGAAATGCCGGACCCCTTCTCAGCTTGGGAAACCTTGCCGGGGAGAGTAATCCCCGCCGTGCATCGCAGTTCGACACCCAGGAATACCTCCCAGCCACGATGAGGCGGTAAACCGTTGGGAGAAGGTTGGAAATCAGTACAAATTATTCCATAGTAATATTATTTAATGAATGGGCTGAACTTATCACATTTATTTAGAAAATTTTTTTCGATATTTTGTATACTAGGTTGAAAGCGCTGCTGCTTCTTGTCCTAGGTCACTCTGAGAAAGATTATTCCCTACACATCGGAATTCACAGCTTAACAGGTTCCGTAAAATTCTGTTCATGTCCATCGTGCAGCTCTTCATTGGCTTTTGCAATTAGGCGTGCGACTGTAGCCCATAATGGAGAAAGCGAGATTTATGCGCTAAAAGAATGTATATGCACGGGTTCTGCGAAGATTTGCACATTGTTCGGATATAGTAACCTAGACGACTGTTGATACGAAAGAGCACACTTTACTTCTGCTTACGCCCTCGGAGCATGCGTTTAGCTTAATTCATGATGTGGATGGTAAGAAATAGTTCATTTAAAATACAAAAAATGCTTGAATGTTCTGCTTAAAATCTTGAGCTCAATATACAGAAAGTTTGGAAGTGTTAAAAAAGATTCTTAGCTTATAATAAGCATTATTAACTGGATCGTGAACCATTAGAATTTATAGACCTTGTCAACCAAATAAAACTTTTTTCTTTAAAATAGTGGAGTTGTGGTTTTTGGATGCAATAACATTTTCCCTTTTTTGTTAATGCTCACATTTCGAAGGCCAAATACCGTTGTAGTAGTTGACCGGTCTTCCAGACGAATCTGATGGCTGTATCCCAATGGTTATAGCGCTTGCGGTGAATTTGTAAAAGCATCAATTTCTTTTTCGGTTTTTTAAAATTTGAATTCTTTGCGAATTAAAATGCGAAGCGATGTTTTGGCCAAGTTGTTTATACGCTTATATCAAAGTTTTACTACATATCTTTGTTATCAGAAAATTAGCAGCAATTGTCGAATAACCAGTTCCGTTAGGAATGTGTCAAACTTATCGTTTTATCTAAGTTGTCTTCAAATAATCAGACTACCATGTCAAAACGTCAAAACCTTGCATGGTATGCTTAATATTTTTGATGAATGGTTACAGAGAAAAGAAAAACATGTTGTTCTGCAACGTCAATTTCTGGTCCCACACAGCGAATGCAACGGCCATACGGGACCTCACAGAGTTTCTGACCACCTTTTTTGCCCAATCTTTTCCTCACCTTCGTATCACTTTTTACCTTCGCTCTAGAGAAATATGCCTAACGTTTTCAGTTCACAAGATCGACTTTCTATTAACCTCAGCATTGGAATATGAATGCGTCGTTTTCTTGTTCAACAATTGCGAGGTTGTTAAGCAGCATACATTCACTTCCATAGAAAAACACAATACAACGCAACAGTAGCTGACGTTCCGGCAATATCGTCTTCTTCAGAGCCTGGAAAGGTATACTGACATACAATCTACTAGGCCAAACGCTTCAATAACACTTACAAAAAGACGAGAAACTCTTTGGTAATTACATGATCAATAGCTTCTCGAAAAACTCACCGATTTTACGTTACTTCAATAAGGAAGATTAGAACAGCTGATTATTCTCGCGTATCGTTGATGACTGCACCATCCTACATCAGAAATTAATGCGAACATACGGGGTCAGGTCGCGTATGACCTCTGGGCATTCATCCCTGCAATTCATTGTAAGGTTTTTGGTATTTATCCAAAAAACCTTAAATTTTCGCACTGTTGTTTTAGTCTCCTGTACAAAGGTGTTGACTTTTACTACAAAATCGTCTACGATATGCTTTTGTATCCTACGCGTGCCTAGTGGGGTGCTTTGTCTTAGTTTTCGTTTGCCATCTAGGTGTTCTTCTAAGCGGATACACAAAGGTCTTTCCATTTCGCCAATGTATTCATCTCCCAATTGTTACAAGAGATCAGGTATATCGTACCTGAACTCGTGCAATCGCCATCCCTGCCGTAAGGGCAAATTACGCTATTCGTTGTTTCACATAGACGGTCATACAGGCGGTTAAGAACTGACTGACGACTTAGAGTAGCCGGTGATATTTCAAATATCGCTGCCGATTCCTCTAGACCTGCTCTTTTCAAGCATCGTTTACTAGCCGAGCTTACTTCATCGCTAATAAAAGGCAATGTAAACGGGACTTTTTTCTGGCCAAGTGTTTCGCTCTCCTTCTAAACTTATCTCGTTGGGTTACAATTTCGTAGTCATTGGAGATGGCTATTTACCGAGCCAAGTTGAGCAATTCTTCCTTTAGTTCCGTGGTTGTGCACACCAAGGTGGTTGTTCGAGACATGTTTCTCACAGTCGGCCTCTTTGTGTGTGAAGGGTGGGAAGAAAGGAAATGAATGAGGATGTTCTTGTTATTGCGTGATAGGTTTATTTGAACGTTTAAGAACGGAAACCAGGTTTTTCTCGGTTTCTCTCAGGTGAACTTACTTTACTCAGACTGTTCGTTCAATAATTCAAAGCATTTGTCCATCACTTCATTCGTAGAGAAGACAACAAAATAATCATCTTCATATCTACAGTGGAGTAGTGGACGGTCATTCGAGATCGAGAACAGGGTCTTCTATCGATAATGATTTTGAAGTAAAAGTCCTTGCACAGGAGACTGAAACACCAGCGCGAAAACTCCTTGAGGTTTTTTGGATAAATGCCAAAAACCCTACAATGAATAGCAGAGGTGAATGCCCAGAGGACATACGCGACGTGACCCCGTATGTTCGCATCGATTTCTGATGTGGGACGATGCAGTCATCAACCCTATGTGACTATAATCAGCTGTTCTAATCTTCTTCATTGGAAGTCGAAAAAACGGTGGGTTATCGAGAATCTACTGACCATGTGTTTGCCATTTGATTCCCATCTTTCTGTATGTGTTATTGAAGCGTTTGGCCTAGTAAATTGTATCTCAGTATAACCTTTCAGCTTCTGAAGAAATCGATATTGCCGGAACGTCAGCTACTGTTATGTTGTATTGTGTTTTTCTATGGAAGTAAATGTATGCTGTTTAACAACCTCGCGATTGCTGAGAGAAAAAACGACGAACGAATTTATAAAAACGACGCATTCATATTCCTAACCTTTTCTGCAACAACATTGGGAAATGCACGAATGGCTTAATGAATTCCTCCTTTCTGTACACACTAGTACTACTGGTATTATATACTACGCAAACAACGTAGAAATTTTCTGGAGTTGCAATTTACTTCGACGATCATAGAATAAATCTCACGGGTCGATTGACGCATAACGACAGCCTCTGATCATAAATGATTAGTGAGTTTGGCGAGGCATTAAGCATCTAACAAAGAGGATCATACTTCTTTGTGAGGAACTTGAATGAGAAACATGGTAATATTTGTCTTGAAACGTCGTTTCTTAAACGATATGGTTTAACAGACAGAGCCTGGCATGGTCGTGTGTGACTACTATGTGCTCGAAAATGCTTAAGCTTACTAACTTTGAGGAAAACATCGCATTTCGTAGTGAACTTTATCAGTTTAGATAAGGAAATTTTTAACTGCAAACATTTTTGTTGACCGTATGCAACCGTTCCTACTTCAATTCGATCAAATTCTGTTTTTTTTTTATAGTCTAGAAAACTTTTCTTCGTGGAAGGTCGCGTTTTCAGTAGTAGAGCGAGTTAGCAAGTAGAATACCCTATCCAACAGGACATGTTTCTGGCCAAAAAATTTCTGTGTCTAGTTTCGTTCTTAAATTTTTGTTCTTTTGTGTTTTGAGAACTCTTGTTGTAGACTAATCAAAAATTAAAAATAATATTGGAAGAATTGCATGTACCCCTATCGATAGAAAGTCTTTTATATCGTATTATATCCTACAGCACTTATATCAATCCACACGTCGAAAAAAGCCAAAGGTTAGAGGGGCACTGGTAGTATCTAAGGCTTTTAAGTAAGGCTATTCATTTACTAAAATATATGCTTAAGGCAGAAGCTTATAAATTGACACCGGGAAATAGGCGAAAGTTATCGCTTTGCACACGATATCTGAATATTTTATAGATTCGAGTTCAAGCTCTTTTGTGTATTGGTAAACTGTTACCGACTCTCGAATCATGGATGGTTACGGACTTAATCTTACCTGCACTCCCGAAAGTCAAAAGTAGGGAGCCTGCTGTTCTCATGGCAATTCTAGGTAGAGAGATATTACTTCAATCTAAACGTTTGCTACATCGTATTTCTTCGATTTGTGAATTTTAGGTGTATATAAACTAACAGCTGACTGTGAATCGGTTGTCGTCAGTCGCGAACAATGGGCGAAAAGCGCGCTACCATTTCTAATACCAATTTGTGTTGAAAACACGCTAAATCTTGGTCAATTTGAGCAATTTATTGCTTTCGTAAAGTCTGTTATTGGAATAGTAGAGCGAGATCAGCGTCTTCGTCTACAACAACTGAGTGCGATGCAAGAGCAGCAAATGTACGTTTGTTTGGCTTGTGTTAGGGAAGTATATAGGCTAGCCAATTACTTGCACCGTACAATCCGCCTAAGTACTTACTTTTTACAATAATTTGATCTTTTCAAAGCATAGGTTGTTTCTGTAAACCATGTACTCATTCAAAATTCGGTTTTCTAAACACAAAGCTATGGCACCGTGATAGAAGGGCTTTGTATCTAATTTAATATTTTTTTCTTTTAATCCGCTGGTGATTTTGGTCAGTGTTTTACATATTTAGTGACGCAACAAGTCTCGACGAAGTTATGAAACCAGATTCCACTATAACCAACACAGATTTGGCAAATCTCAAGGATATTCATGGCATCGATAGCATAGGATCGTGCCTTCCAGTAAACTTGGAGGTTAGTTTTAGGATTCCTTTTATTATTTCGTTTCACTATTCACTGAGGATGAGTTTTATGGGAGAAATGCAATTGCTGCTGTCGCTGAGGCGGAGCCTTGTATATGGGTAATCATTGGTAGGTCTCTGCAACGGATCACTACAGTGCGTCGAATCACATTCGAATAGCGTGTTCAGCAATGTTACCCGTCGCCACCATCATCCATCTTGACTACCAAAGATAATATCTTACAGAAGGAGTTGCCACTAAGTGAGAAAGGGATAAGAGCATCAAAGCAAGAACGTAATCATGGATTACAATCGCAAGCTTCAATACAGGTTCGCAGGTTTAAATAAACATATGCATTTGGTTGCCGATTCGATTTAATGCAGGTTGATGACTCAGTTATTTCAGCCTGTACTTTCGCCAGTGGAATATAGTAAGCTGCCAACAATGGCTGTGAAACCTAACGACGGATTCACTTTAGTAGGAGGTATTTGTGGAACATGTTTTTAAACATTCTGAGCTTTGATGTTGTATATAAATGGGCACGCATATTTATGCATATAAATGGCATGCATGTTATATTTATTTACTTATTTATAGCAATATTTGTACCCATTTTCACATCCTGATAGCGTAAATTTGATGGTGTCCGTCTTACCACATTTTTTTTTCTAGGAACGGACTATCCGTTTTTTGCTAGGTTTGTTAACGCCGTCATTTCTTTTGAACCATGAAGAGCTGAAATGCATAAAGTTTTACTCAGGGGAAGGAGTAAATATTTCCAGTTTTTCGTGCATCGCCCAAATGGTCACCCCTTTTGTACGCGTTTTCTTTTCATGAACAGTACATGATTTTGAGAAGCTGGTTCTTTCTATCATTCTTGATACATAAGTCGATCGCTTCGAAGTGTAAGATTTCTGGTGCACTTACAATTCCATTTCCTTCCTTTACAAGCGTTGCTTTTGGAGGTGGTCAATACCGGTACAATAGAAGGAATATTGGTTCACATAAGTGATACTAGAGTTTTAGCTCCATCAGTTAGTTAATTGGTACCGTCTTTGAGAGATCCTAACCTAGTTTTAAATTTGTTCACAACCCTTGCACTTTTGTTGTCTCGCTGCGTTCTTTGAATTTCATATGTGTTTCAATGGTACCCTCCAAAATATGACGATATCGTCGACAAATGATGGTTTTATAGGGTATTTCCATCAGCGCGTACACTCTTTTCATGTCATTTGGCTTTATATTTTTCCATCAATGCTTGCACTCTTTTCATTTCATTCGAACGATATCACTTTTTGCTTCAGTAAAGCGCCATACAGTTCGCATTCTGAAATATTACTGCAATATTGAAACTCCATTTCTAATTCTTTTAAGTGGGCGGTGACAGAGCATTTCCTCGTGTTGTATCCTCCTTACATCCTTTTTCATTTTCCTCTATCTTTTTGCTTGAAAGTATTTTATAATCTCTCGAGATTGTTAAATTGCCAGATATTCTAGTGGAGTGCTTTCTGTAGACTAATGTGAAAACGTAAAATTGGTTTTCAGAGTCTACTGTACAGCCTTTCCATCAACAGCTTGACATGTATATCTGTCCGCAGAAGTTTGGTGTTGTTCCAGCATTGAACAACCTAGATTTATCGGTTTTTGAAAGTGGTGGTAAGTTCTTGGCAATTGTTTGCTCTAATCTTCGTAGACTATAGCTTCAATCTTACGATCATTACTGGATAGTTTAAGAGATGGCAGTTATAACAGATGCCCTGGCTAAATCATGAGTAACCAAATCTAGCAGTTTCGTCAATGATTGTTGCTCAAACTACAGGGTCAACATGGGCTGAATGCAGCGCCGTTGATGAGCATCTGCGTAACAACTGTGCTTCTGAAGGGTGTTTCCCAACAAGATTTCCAGAACCGCCTAAGCAAGGATTTCTTCTCTGTACCGGTTAAGCTGAATAAATTTTTTTCTTAAAAATACATTTTAGATCAACGAATGCAGCAATTCAACGTACCAACAAATTCACAAAGCCGCTTACTTCGCTTGATTCATTACTGTCGTTTTCCTCGAACAGTCATGAGATTGCACGAATTGAGGAGAATAATAAATCTCTCAACTCAGCGGTTCACCATGATGGTAGTAAAGCACTCGATCCATTCATGGATCTCTTCATGTAGGAGTATTTTTCTTAAGGCACTGTTTGCTTTTGACCTACTTATTCTGATTTTGTTGTATGCGGTGTTTAATGCTCACTTTGTTTTTTGCTTATCTGAGAAATATCGTTTTTAGGATCGATATCGATATATGACGAGATTCTTTTGAGTTGCATGTATTTGAAGTAATTAGATTTCTAAGAGATGCTGTATTTATGGAACGTTTTTGCTGCGTATCCTATTTATTTAATAGCATCTTGCTTCACTCTTGTACTCACTCCTGAAGAGTACAAAGTTGTCTTCAGTATCCATGTTGTTGTGACTTTAGACCATGGTATTGAAATGATTTCATATCACAAATAAATATGATTCAAATGTTGTATGCTATTTTTTCATTCGTGATTTGCCACTCAAATCATTGGAATATTTCTGCTTTGACGTCGTCCCTGTTGTTTAAAACACCTACTTTAAAACTGTAAAGAACACTTGGACTCCATTGTAGTATGAAAGTATGGGAACACAACAGATTTTATTGTGAGCCAAATGGTTGCCTGGAAATAAAAGCTAGTACTTTGATTAACATGTAGTGTCCCTTCACCTATCTTTCTTCCGAAGGATCATCTGTTGAATATAATGCAGTTTGGCTCTTCGAACTGTTATAATTTCGAGGTTATCGGCTATTTCCAGACCCTGACGTTGCTCCATTATGATGGCAGTACTTCAGGAACGTCGAGACAACGAGAAAAATGTGCAGTTGTTTTGTCTAGAGAACTTGGTTTTTATGAACTCATTTGTTCGGATACCTGGACAGCCCGTCTTCACTGGTTGTGCGGGTCCCAGCATAATTTGCTGGTTCAGCTACCGTGGTTCATCGGAGTCTCGGGGTCATCCTGGCCAAAGTCTGCCTAAGGTCGTCACCACCACAGGCAGTCGCCGTCCTTCTGATTCAGAGGGACACCACAAGACTAGTTTGTTACCAGGATGGTGGATCTTGCTAATGGTTTACTCTGGACTAGGCTTCATGTTGGAAACGCCGGCACTTTTCAGCTTGGGAGGCGTTGGCGTGAGGGGTGGATCTCTCCGCTGTACATCTCAGCTCGACACCCAGGAACATCTACCAGCCACGATAAGGCGGTAAACTGTTTAGAGGTTTTATGAAGTTACCGGACTTCTTGGTGGTTGCGGACAGGGACAGGTCGTCAGCCAATGAAATACATAGCTGTCATCACATAGTGAACGAGATTCGTCGATATAACTCGGTTAATTTTCCGAGAACTTAGGGGCAGAGAATTTATTTGACGGACATGTAGTAGCTACGTTACTCTATCATCTTTTTACTAAACGTATAACAATTTGATGTATTTTATGAACGGCAATTTGATACCATCGCCATAGACATTTGGAGGTGTTTTGTAACATATGTTGAGTCGATTTTGCCACTGTTTCCATATGAACATTCTGCGCTACTAACTGTGCAGATTGGAAAGGAAATAACCGTCACGGCCATGGTTCAGCAGACCGATTGCGAACAAAATAACAGTCATTAACTAGTCAAATGCTGCGCATTGTACGCCTGTCAGATCGTTTTTCAATAAATGAATGCTTAGATTATTTAGCCTTAGTGTTTTATTGTCTAATTGGAGCGAAGAGGTACCCCTAATTATCGTGCCTCGGTCCCTAAATGAAGAAGATGATACATCTATGCGCCGTTCTCACCACACTATTAGTATCACGGTTCGTACTCTGTTCAAAAGCAATATTCTCGTTCTCGAAATGAACCCGTTCGCAGAAAGTTTCTTTTCAAAACTATTAAGTGCAGAGAATAGCGTTTCAAAGCCCACGACTTTCACAATATCTGTGTCGGATAAGGCATCGATTGAATGCAAAATCTAGAGCGGAAAAGCTCTGTAAGGGAAAATAATCCCTGGGAAATTGTACGGATGCATTGAGATCAATGCAATTCGTTCGCTGCGTTCCACATGCATTAACGCTTGCGACGACACCTAATTTCGTTTTCATGTCGCAATTGCATGACGCCTAATTTTCAGCCTTTACGGGCTTGCCGGTTTCTTCGCTTGGTTTTCGGTAGCAGCAAACAATAATTTTTCGATAAATAGACGACATGATGGGTTGTGAACATGACGTCATTGTAGAAAAGCTTCTCTATCGTTCTATGTTTATGAATCTCTATTTCGGCTTTTCTTAATATCATCGCACTGTATATGGTAGCTCTGGTTTCATATGTAATTAGGATTGGATTACTATCCTATTAGTACTCAAATTTCTGGTCAGTCACCTGTTCAGACAACGGTTTTTTGTATGTTTCTAAGAGCAGAGTAGAGCTTTTACCGAACAAAAGCCAACACAACATACGTGTTCTGCAAGTTATCGATTGATTACAAGAGTAGGAAGAGAGTTTTATGTGTTAGCATTGACTAGTGGAAGGAAAATGAGCTCTATGGAGGTCACGCCGAACACTCCAGCACCTTCGGAATAACTCCCGTATTGGTCACTCGTCGCGAGAGTGTTAATGCCTTCACAGCATTATGAATGCTGTGAGGTCTATTTTTGTTCAGCGAGATCCAGAACGTCTTACCACGCGTTGTATATTTTTCGGTAGCCAACCAAAGCAGATCAGAATAAAAGGAATTGATCAGAAGAGCCATTCTCTACATGTAATGATCTACAAAAAACCTTTTTTCGAAAAGTTCATTGACTGGCACAAACAGTTAACTGCTATTTCATTTTAGCCCCAATGATGATTTATGGCTATTTTATGGAATGTGCGAGTATCTAGAAAAAAGTAGTACTCATTTCGATTCAACAGCAGCTACAAAGTACTTTCAAATGTCGATGTCAATGTATTAACATAATGGACCATAGTATAGTAGCATACATATCATTCGCAAGCATAGAATGATGGGAAAAGTCCCTTTTCCAATCTTATCATGTTCACACCTCCTAGAATTCTCCAATTATTGGGAAAATATTTTTATTAAAAAGGCAGAAAGTTCGCGGCGGACGAAAAATTGCTCGGCTCGCGAATAGATTGGGATTAGTCGGGTCAAATCGGATTTATGTCTTTATAGTTTCTATAGACACCTATAGAGAAATCTGATATTAAGGAATGATTCAATATCGGCCTGATATTTCAACGTACCCGTCGCATGGTTCAACGAGCAGAATTACACTGCACTCATTAAGCAACGTCACTCATGCTAATAGTCCTACTTCATCTGAGGTACCCTGACACGGGTAACTCTGCAGAGAGATCCATTCATTTCTCAGAGAATTGTTGTGTCACTGGGTTTTCCATTATTATGCTTTCACACTGTGTTGTTATACTCAACGAACTCGGTTGTTCGTGACCTGTTACTTATAAAGCCTTTACTCGGAGGCACTCTTTGTGAACCTTTTTCCTGCTCCTCACGTATACATATGGCTCCAGCACTTCTTATATGTTCCAAGAAACGCAAGTTTGGAGGCTAATCGATTTGCGGATTTGGTGTGTACAACGACATCGTATTTTTTCTTGAGTTTTTTTTTTTAACGGTTTGGGAACACAAATACTACTTAAACGGTTCGGCATACATAAGGTTGCAACGAAACTTTTATTCGGCAGATGTTTCTACGTCTTCTTGTTCTTCATTGTCGGATAGATGCGAATCGTCTGTCTACAGCCGTTCGTCCTCACAATGAGTATTCGTAGTTGCATCGAGTAGAATGTTCTGAAATGAGTACCTCACTCGGCAGTGCGCTTTTAATAGACGAGGGTTAGTGATCGTTGTTCACTGACAATGTTAAGCAGTAAAGAAATTAATCCAGCCCTTTACTAGGCGACATTATATCAGCTGACACGTAGGGAACCGAAATACTGTTATTTGAGCGCAAAAGAAAATTCATTCTAAGAGCAGAAAACGATATGTTAGGTTTGCCTTTGCATAGATTCATATCGAGCTAACTGCAAATGCAAAATGCTAGCGTATTTCTCTTTTGTGTTTTTTGTTGAAAAACAAAACAGCTAGCTCCATCTCCGTTGTGTACGATTTACACCCCTTCTCTCTCCTCTCTTAATTACTTCGATAAGTGGACGGTCCGTCTTCACGAGTTGTACGGACACCAGCACATTTGCTATTCGTTTCTTTCTCACGCAATCGTAGTCCGTGATGGTGGTTTCATCCGAGCATGGTGGCGCGTACGAGTTTCATGCCATGATCTGTAAAATAACTACGGCTGCGTGTACAGCTGATTAACCTTTGTTACGAATACGTCCGCCCAACGTGTAGGTTGCCATACTGGAGGACGTCTGCATTCTCGTGGAGTCCACTCTACAGTTCTTTTCGTCAATCTGTCGCTCGTTCTTCTCGTTATGTGACCAGCAATCTATGTTTCTGTGTCGATGTATATTCTCCTGAATCTCCAAGATATGACAGATTTTGAAGGTCAGAGCTTCGCATTCCCGCTAGATGTCGAGAGTGCCGGTTATATTCAAGAAGACATCGCTCAACCGCTCTGTGAGTAGTGCGGAGTATTACTGACGTAGTTGAAGTATCACCCCAGGTTTCTGCAGCATAACAGAGTGCTGGGAGATCCGTTGAATCGAAAAGGTGAGCGCGGACTTTTGGGTCCTTCAGTTGGGTCGGTGTCTTCTTTGAGAGGCCCAAATGCGGCCCAGCTGCTCTCCTTCATCTATCTAGTTCCTCCTTCATGTTGTTTTCCATATTCATTGATCGTCCAAAGTAAACGTACGAGGTGGTCTCTGCAATGAGAGAGCCGTCCAACTCAATTTTTTCGCCTTTGCACCATAGGTTTTTCATGAACTGGGTCTTCTTTCGATTTATATGTAGTCCGATCTTTTTTCCCGCTTCATTGAGCTCGTTGATCATCGCCTTGCTTCGCTAGTACTTCTTGAGAAAATGGCGATGTCGACGGCAAAACGAAGGTTTGATAGGACTGTTCCATCAATACGTATGCCTTTCTCATCCCAATCGAGTGGCTTCATTATCCACTGCAGTGCGGCACTGAACAGTTTTGGCGATATTGTGTCGCCCTTTCGAACCTCTTTTCTTGTGGGTATGGTAAGAGGTCGATGGAAAAGCTGTTTTCGTAGTGGTAGGAAGGGTCCACTCATTGGTCGACGAGCGCTGATAGGATTGCATTCGTTTCGACATTGTCAAACGCTTTTTCATGGTCGATAAAGGTTAGGACTAGAGGCAAGTGGTATTCTCGACAAACTTCGATGACCCTGGACACAGTTTGGATGTGGTCCATGCAGCAAGATCCTTTTCGAAATCCTTCTTGCTCGACTGTTTGCGCCCCATCCAATGTCCTTGATATGCACGAGAGGATAATCTTCGTGAAGAGTTTGTAGAGTAGACTTAACAAGGATATGGGCGATAGCTACGAAGATCCCTTCGGTTTCCTTTCTTAGGCGGGGTCACCGTCCGCGACGTCCTCCACTGGTCTGGGATTTTCTACTTTTGAAGGTAGTATGTCATATAATTTGCGAAAAGTACGTGTAAATTGTGGCTTCCAGCTCTCAGGAAGCCGGCTGTAATATTATCGGCTCCTGGAGCTGTGTCTCTTTTCATACTTTCTATCGTAACTTGAACCTCCGTCGTAACAATTCCAGGTGGTTCTACACCAACAGAGATATTAGGGTCCGCGAAAGGGATTATGGCACGGGAAAGGTTGCTGTGGAACGTTTCAATTACTTCAGTTTCTTTCTCTTTTCTAGTAACTCCTTAGTAGTGAAGGAGATGCGATCCGATCTTCTCGCTTGAGGAACTGAGGCGAATTTGGCACAGCTTTTCAGTACTTCGACAAGCAGCTTGTAGTCTTCGGTTGGGTCTTCTTTAATCTGCTAGTCACGTTTGTGCAGGACTTTTTTCAGAATGTTCTCGTATACAGCTACACTTTTCCTCGTGGTCGATGAAGAGAGTTCTTTCGCAGCTTGCGGCTGAATCGAATCTTCGCGCGAAGAGTGCGGTGATCGGAACCAGTACAGAATGACGGGACTCCGATGTGTCAAGTAGGTACCATCTTCTATTTGTCAGGATATGGTCGATCTCCGCATGAGTCATGCCGTTAGGAGACTCCCATATCCAGCGGCAGCTTTCCTTCTTCTGGAAGAGCGAGTTCCCATGGAAGAGACGTGCTGCTGACAGGAGTCCTGCGAGACGGTTTCCATTCTCATTTCTTTCTCCCAATCCAAAATTTCCGATCCTGTATTCGCTCTCGTTGGCCTTTCCTATTCTGGCGTTGAAGTCTCCAACAACAAATTTGTGATATGCTTTATCATTGTGGATGACTTTCTCCAGCTGATAGTAGAACGCATTTAATTCGTTCTCATCGGCTACGTCGGTCGGTGAGTAGCAGTTGATGGTAGTGATCTTCTTATGATGCGACAGCTGAAGACGGAGGACGGCTATGCGAGGAGAAGGGATCTCGTATCGTTCGACGAGATGGACAATGGACGGGTGGACGACAAAGCCTACGCCGCCGACATTTCGTGACGGGACCTTTTCTCCACGGATCACAAGAGTCCCATTGTTTAGTTGGTGTACGTCGGTCTTCTTGACTTTTGTTTTTTGTAATGCGATAACGTGAAATTCAATGCGATCTGCGGCTACAAGAAAGGCGGGAAGATCGGCGTCTGTGGAGAGTTTTCTGGCGTTATACGTGCACAGTAAGAAACAGTCTCCATGGCGTGTTGTGCATGTGTTCGCTAGATCCGGTTCCAATGACGTCCTACGTTGCCCGAGATTTTCTGGCCTCCCACCGGTCGTCTCATCGCCTCAGACCATAGACTGGAGCACCCAGTATGCGGGGTACTGAGGCTGGCTTTTTGCTGGTTATGCAACTTGGTCCTCCCTGGAGTCCTGACTTAACCGTGCAATGGCGTATTCAGGTCTTAAACACGGTGTGGATCTGAGGGAGCTATGTTTTCGCTGTCGCATCCTTCACCCCGTCTCTTTTGGAATGGTGCTCTTCAATCTGTGCTTCACAACTCCTTTTGTTCGTGACATTCTCCTTCCTAATTGTGGCTTTAATTCCTATGGAATAGATTTATGCTCGTATTTACACTGTCAATCTCTCTTGCTCTCCATCACGTATTCAAGTACTTAAATATTTGGATATATATGACCATTTTCGTTCTTTTTTGTGTCTATTATTGTATAATTTGGATAGAAGAAGTTTGCTAATGATTAGGACTTAATGAATCAGCAAACATATTGTTCATTTAGAAGAATTCTGGGTACCCATTTAAACCATGCGGGAGATGGAATTTGCTCAAGATGGGCAGCTGGCCATCTGGAACAGCTATCTACTTCGGGTGCTATATTTGGGTCAAGCAACTTGTACTACATATAACATGGATCTCGTTTCGAAATTACTAGCGATTTTATCGCGTATTCGAACATACCCATGTAGGTTTAATTATCCACGTTTTATGTAATTTTATGCACGTTCTTACTGAAAGTTATCTAGACATAAAATTGATTTTTGTTTAAAGCTGCAAGTCATGCAAATTGCTCTTTTCTGTACAAGATTTTTGGAGATTTTAATATTCGTGTGGAAAGTTTTTCTTGAAATACGGTTGTTTTTTTAGCAATTACTATAATTTTTTTGCACATTACATGATGCTGTCTGTGAAAGCGGATTACTGTTGGAATCCTTCCAATTTTGTTGCGTCCATTCCAGGCAATTCAACCTCTGTGGATTCAATTACAAGTCTTTTGAAAGAATACCTTGAAAACTTCCCAGTGATATCAGTTTTTTTTGAAAACATTGATGGACCATTTAGAGAAATACCATTGTCCATTATTGAGAAGCAAAGGTATAGTATTTATTGAAATTCACTTTATTTCTGTTTTCATGTAGTTGATTCTGTTCTGTGTACTTTTTATTGTTGTGTGCAATCGCTCTGAGCAAACGTGTCATAGAGTGGAGCATTCGTGGGTGCGTCGTTCCCATGGTCGACTGCCACGGAGAATTTCCATTCGTCGAGACCGCAGAAAAGATATTGTTTCAGCAGAGTTGAGTGGATCCAGTCATGACGACGGCACATTTCGACCAGAGGTATTAAAGATACTGTATTTCATTCTTGTTACTATGAAGCCTTACTCATTTAGAATTCTATTTATGGTGTTTCGATCATTCCTCACCAAGATGATTGGCTTGACATTCCTGGTGACAGAAATATTATTAGCGTTTCTGGTTGGTCATGTATTTTCTTCAACCTATTTATTTGTTTAATAGATGTGCATTCAGAAGAAAGAGACATAGAAAAAATGTATTCGAAGATGTTTAACTATCATTCTGGGCGAATCAGTTTAATAGAAAATTTTGTCAACGCGTTGGCCGGTTTTACACGTTTCGTGGTGTATGGCAATTCATTACATGGGGTAAGTCCTTGAATTATTTTAATAAACTTCTAGCTTATTGTCGTTTTAATTCAATATGTTACATCGTAACAGAATAGAACTAGGGAATGTAAACGAAAGTGAAGTTCTAGTGACGAGTTCTCATTGAGCGATGTCGTCCATCTCGTCTAATATTCGCAATGAACCTCCACTTGGATAATATCCGCCTAGTCTTTATGATCTTCATAGTACGTACCTAACCTTGGATAGAGGAATCACGGTTTTATATCGCATGAAGCAGAATCAAAGTCTGTGTCTGACAAGATTTTTCAAGCAAAGGAGAACTAAATTATGTAATTAAATTCGCATTTGGTTCTTGATAACTTGGTATCGCCCCTGGCGTTATTGATAATTGGGTGTTTCCTATCTCCTGTTTCCAATATCAACTGATTCATTTAGAAGCTGAGCACACATCTAATCACTTTTACCTTATTGTCACTATGAAGGGTGTTAACACTAAAGTCGAACGCCTAATTTCGTATAGCTATGGCATCTAATCGAATTGAACTTGATTTTCTAGCATTTACCTCGTAGGTTATGATTATTTTGCCACTGATTCGGTACAACAGGGAAGAAAAATCGCCATGTGATTACCTTGGCATTCTCTTCATCTGTGATATTCATGGTTTTTGTGCTCTCCTAACTATCAGCGGCAGCGAACAAAATTTTCCTCTCTGTTGAGAAAAAAAGAATTTGTATTTTCAACACATTACCTTTAGGCGATGTTTATTTGTGGTCTTCTATACAAAGCTATGGATGAGCTTTATTATGCGTGTGGTGGTGGTTCAGCTGTAATTCAATGTATTAATTGGCAGACAATTATGATCCAGGTATTGCTTTTTTAATTTCTTGCACATTCGCCTATTTGTTTCGGATTTCTTATGAAGAATTTGGACTCTGCGGAATCATTTAGTGTTCAAGATGTGCTTCACACTTGTTAACGGCGTGTACTCATTCAACTGGTTCAGACCACCACGAATTGCATTACTGTCTCGATTGTCTTTTGAACATTGTGAAAAGGGTGAGGACATCTCAGTATTGTATTTAGCGCGGTGCTGATCTGTGATGACCCGGAATTTGTTGTTGAGCACAAGATCAGCATAGTTTTATCTAGTTAAAATTTTGGTCGAGTGTTCAATGTGCGTTTGGAAAGTGCGTGTGAAGTATTTCAGAATGTTGTAAGTATTTATGTTATTTGATGGACAGCGGCCGCACAGAGTAATACATTGGCGATGACAGTTATCGCCCATGTATTACTCTGTGCGGCTGCTATCCATCAACTAACTTAAATACTTACAACAAATAAACGGCTCTGAAGAAGGCGAAAACCGCCGAAACGTCAGCTATCTCAGAATGAATAATAAAGGATAGGAGCCAGAAACAAGAGTAAAGCGAATACCCTAACGTCATTTGTATCCAAATCCTTCACTTTCTCACCGTTATTTTTTTTTAATGAATTAGGCGACGCGTATGCAATGGCCGTTTAAGCCCGAAATTGTATGCTGTTGCTATAAATGATGTTACAAATACGAAACTCTGTTGAATGCAAGTGGGAGAAATGCTGCACGTGTAGTGTGGTCGGGGGCACCCTGAAATACACGTGGAGTCGATCTCAGCGTCTTAGATTCACCAGGTCTTCCATCTCTTCGTGTGGTGGGCAAATTGGTACCAGATTTGTTTGGGAGGATAGCAGAACTAACTCGATACATTGGGAGACCACCGCGAGTCATTGTGCAGGCAAGATATGCATTCATTCACCTCTAACGACAATTGATGAACTCGAATGCATAGCGCGTCTTTCAAGGATTGATCAACGCCGAGAGCTTTGTGCTCTTATTTTAAGCGGGAGAAATGATTTAATATCGTGTGAATAAGCGATCTTACATGTCTGGCTATTGATGATTTGCTATTTTGTTTCTTCAGAGTTTCGTCGCTGCAACACAAATGTTCGAAGGGCTACAATGTTGCGATGACGTAGCGTTTATTGATAAGTGTATTCGATCAGCTTGTACGGCAATATTAAGGTTTGGCTCTCGTTCCTTACCTAATCTATGGAAGTGATTTTGTTATGCTTGGATGGAAAATAAATTCGCGTCCAAGTATTATTCATTATAAAATCATAAGTAATAGGCTGTATCCATAATAGGTCGAAATTATTTTATGCATTAGTACATAATTTGATGGGTCCATTAAACTCTCATGTTTATATGGCTTCATAGACGTTATATCCTTTCCAGAAGCTAATTCCTTTTTGCGAAACACATTTATGCCTCATTTTTAGTGTTACTGAAGATGTTCTCAAAGTCTTCGAGGTGTACCGTTGCTTGGATGTGCTTTCTCATTTGGGAGAGTTGATTGTGTTGTGGAGCCAAGATAGCTCATTTCCAATAGTATTCCCTGAGTTGATGAAGATGATAGAAACCAGAGTTTTTCAATCGAGCATCACTAACAGCAGAGTTTTAAGATTCGCTTTTGAACTTTTCGCGTCGCTTATGAGCACTACGTACGTTAATTCAATAGTTTTCTTCACATTAGGCTTGTGTAAATATTCAGCGCGATTTTGTTTAGCTGCGCGATCACTTACTTAATGGACTGGAGCCTGAGTTGGCCTTGCGGCTTTGGTGGTACAGTGACTGCATTTGAGCTGATTGAAGCGTTAACAACTCACATCGCCTCACGCAACTGGCAATGTATTTCGGTATGCTTTTCATTGTGTTTCGGCCTAGAAAAATCTTAATAAATTGACTTGTGAACCAACTTTGCTTACATTGGAGAACTATCTTTAGGCGCATACATGTGCTTTGATAACGAATGAGTTGGTTTTTTCACTTTTTTTAATTGTCTGATCACCCTAAAATGAGCAGATCTGTTTTAAAAAGTCGTATAGGAAATTACTTTGGTTTGGTCGTTTATTTTTAGTACTCGGATATCCGTTGTAGAGCGCCGGGTGCCGCTAATTTAAATTTAGATTTTTGTTATTTTTGAAACACTGTGAGGCGTTACAAAAGGATAAAGCTCTCGGCGTTGATCAATCCTTGAGAAATGCGCAATGCATTCGACTTCATGAAGCATCGTTTGGATATGGTCGAATGCATACCTGGCATTTACAATGTTGTATCGCGATGGCCTGTCAATGTATCGAGCCAGTTCTGCTATCTTCTCAGAGGGATCTGGTGTTAATTTGCCGACCCCGAAGGGATGGAAGCTTGCTGGGCCATGGCTACTGGGATCAATTTCACGTGTGTGTTGCAGGGCGCCTTCGACTACTGCGCCACACGCTCCCTTTGAGATGTGATGAGACGTTAGGTGGTTCTATATGTTTGTTGCGGTCGAACAATTTGATACCAAGAAAATTTTCACCTTTCCTCAACTATTAAGGTTACAAAGTAGATTTCAAAGTACTACGCGGCTTCGTAGTTGTGGGAGAACTTGTTCTTGTTTCACCTATAAATTTCTTCTTTCTCTTATAAAGAATATAATTTAAAGGAATTATAAATAGAAATCTCGCCTGTAAAACAACTTTCAGCATTACGCATCCTAGACCAGTGTTTCACTGTTTGCAAGTAAAGAAGAGACAATGAATCGTAGAGAAATTTATTTGGATCACATAAATGGAAAGGCAACTTATATATTACTTTCCATTTTCGTTTAGTTTTATAGACAGTTTGATTTTTTTTCAATCTCTTTCTATATTTTGATTTTGGTATCCAAGCAATCGTGTTAGTTTGCTTGGATACAAAGGATAAAAATGCTTCTAAAAGCTTAGATAATCACAATGATGCTGAGATAAAACACGGCTGAGAGAAAGGCGAAGCGAAAGACCCGCATGGTGTGGTGGTGAACGCATTAGCCCCCGGAAAGGGTAATAGAGCGTTCGTTCCCCACCGCAGACACCTGCGGTCCGGAGTTTTGCAAATATCTCAGCATCATTGTAGTTATATTTCAAATCATACTCTGCCGTGAAAAAAGAATAGGCAATGAATAAAAAGCGATGACATTTTGGTTTGATAATTGTTGGCACGCAGCTCCTTAAGCTGCTTTTTGATAACCAGTGGTGATTTCTCGATCGCTGGTTTCTAAATGAGAACTGGGATCTCCGCAGATTTGTGGAAGCTGTTTTGGTCTGTCACATTAAAGCAATGTATCGTTTCCGCAAACTACCCTTTCGATTTCAAATTTTTCTCGGGTGGCATTTTTTAAAAAATGGAAACACTGTTTAGATTTCTAAAACTTCCATTGCAATTGCGGCATAAGAAAATACAGTGAATTGGAGAACACATCATCGTATCTTAAAACTCTTGTTTAATTGTTTTGATGGTTAAAATAAAAACCTTGTCGCAACAAAAAGAAAAGTGAAAAGTGTTTCATGGGCTCCAGAAAAGTAGGGCTTCATCTTGATATTGTAGTATAAGATAATTTGTACCTTGTAGGGCGATGTCAATAGATTCGAACCATTCTTATTGCAACTGATAATGTCCATTTTATCCCAGAGTTATTTTAAAGTTGTACGCAGTCATTTATTTTATTCGTGCGCCCGATGTACTGTAGTGAACGTGTATCGGACGTTATGTGTTGCAATATAAAAGGATGTTCCGGCTTCTTTTATTGTTGGAACAACAGCATTGTTGATTTCGGAGAACATCTTCAGGTTCTGGAAAGACATCTACCTTTCATGGATTGGGTGAAGGACCGTAGTGCTAACGAAACTGATCCAAACATTGTCATCACTGAATTGGTAGTCGCAATTCGCAGTGCCAAATCTGTTGATTATCTAGTGCATGTGTCTGCGTGCGTACTAAATAGTGAGTTTATCTGTGGAATACCTTGTCTTCGTTCCATTTTAGTCTCTTTAAAAGGAAATTTGAAAAATTTGCCATTCGATTTTTTAGTTTTAATGTTCTAAAATTAATAATTTCTGCTACTATTATTATTATTACTAATAATTCTAGTATTTCGAAAATGCATGGGCATTCGTTGTTAGTTGTGTTGTCAGAATGATTGCCTGAGATGATTGCGTCGTAGTGTCTTTAAGCACTAAACAATTCCTATATAATTTGTTTCCAGGTAATCCGTTAGTTGAAGATGTCCATCATATAATTTTGGAGTTAGTCATACCAGAAATAATAACCCTATCAGAGAATCTTCGTGCGGCGGAACGTATTGGTAACATCAATAACACTTGTGACTCAAGAGAGTTTCTGTGTTTTACATTGTTCTTAGAGTTTATCATTTTTCCAGGGTATAGATCTTTTGGAAGTTTTCGGTCTTTGTTGAATTTATTAGAATTCGTTCTTCCAGCGATTGATAGCTATACTGCAGAAGCCATGATAAGGTGTTTTATGTGAAATTTGGAGTACCTAGAATTAATATCTGTATATTATTTGGACTTCAGAGCAGTAATATCTCCATATCGTCACGTGTATATGAAGAACAGAGATCTAGAAGATAGTTTTATAATGTTGACATCGAAGTGTATTTCTTTAAGGCACGTTGTTGCTAAGGTTCGTTGCTTGATATACCGGTTTAGCTGCTTTGTACCACGTAACCTTTTGCAATTTCTCCTTTCAGGAAAGCGGTTTATCCGACTGGTTGTTAACATGTGTTCAGACATGCTATAAACGAGCATCTCAAGACATTTGGAGATTCATGAAAGACAGTGCTGTGAAATGTAATCGTACCCTATTTTGTGCGCTCTTCATCATTCATAATGCGCTGGAACACGATTTGTGTGAGAAAAACTTTCTTATAATATCACCTTCCTTGTTAAAGTGGTATATTTTCGTACAACTTTTATTTTCATGTATTTTATATGATGTTATTACACAAAATATAGGTAGCAGCAAACTAGGAACCTATTCTTAAATTTTTTTTATTGAACAGTGGAAATACTTTTGCATCGGTCATGATCGGCCCTAGAATTCCTCCTGTTTAGGTAGCGAATTTGTCATGTTTTTTTTGGTAAGAAAGTGTGTAAATTGAATTTTTACAAGAAAACACTGCGCTTACCAAAATTTTGTCCATCGGTTCAGTTATGCAGCGGATGTCGACGTCCTTAAAATATGGAAATATTAACTCATTGGTGCGGACGCTCAAGTTTTCACGGGGGACATGTGGATCAACGTCGAATTTCTTCACATGTTACTCTTGCCGTCGACTCTGCCCAACGGACACCCCGCCCACTTTGTTGCAGTGTTGGTACAGCAATCCGATTTTTGCGTGCATTTCTGCGTTCACTTCTGCAGTTTTCATGTTCTGTGTACCATTATTTCGTCTATGCATCTTTCCATGCCGCTGGAATATATTTAACTCTTGTGATTTTAAACGAAGGAAAAAAACTCATTCACCATCCAATCACCTTGCTATCAGCTCTTATTGAATAAGGTATGAAAATTTTGGTGTTCTTTAATGCTTTCTATATCTCTTGGTTTCGTGCGGTAACCTTGAATGACAGTAGCAATTTAAAATTGGCTAACAGTCAATTATTGATCAAAGTATCGAATTATGCTGGGTTTGGCGGTACATGAATCTGGCTTCATTTTCCATTCTATCATGGGTGAATTGATAGAATCTTTTGTGCGATAGTTCGATCAAGAATTCGAACTTTTTACTAATAAGAAATAACAAATATGGACTAACGAACTTGATACTTACTTGAACGACCCGTCATCACTAGTTGTGCAGGCCACAGCATAGTTACCATTTTCCCGAGATTTTCTGGTTAAGCCATTGTCGTTCACTGGAATCCCGAGCACAACCTGGCCAAAGTCTGCCCCAGGTCTTGACAACCACAGACAGTCGCAGCCCTTGTGGATCAGAGGGAGATTTACCACCATGCGACTTTGATACCAGGACGGTGAGGATCTTGGTATTGGTTTACTCTTAGCTAGGCTTCCTGATGGAAACGCCGGACCCCTTCTCAGCTTGGGAAACCTTGCCAGGGAGACGAATCCTTCGCTGTACATCGCAGTTCGACACCCAAGAATACCTCCCAGCCACGATGTGGCGATAAACCGTTGGTAGGGGACTAAGGAACGGTGATTCGTAAAAACTGATCGCTGTTGAAGGGTCGAAAAATTCACTAGTCTGTGCCTTTCATTGTTCGTGCAAGTCTTCTTTGGTTTGCTCCACGCTTTGGAAACATTTCCAACTCTCGCGCATAGTGAAAGAATTCCGTTCACCTCACAACAATATGGCTATCAGGTTTTGGTACTCCATCTCGCAGCATATTCATTTATACCGATTCCATACTATACCGAAAAAACCCACCGCTTTTTCGTGACTTCCAATGAGGGGAAGTTTAGAACAGCTGATTATAGTCGCATGCGGTTGACGACTGCACCATCCCACATCAAAAATCGATGCGAACGTACGGGATTAGGTCGCGTATAACCTCCGGGCATTCATCCCTGCTATTCATTGTAGGGTTTTTGGCATTGGTCCAAAAAACCTCAAGGAGTTTTCACGCTGGTGTTTTGGATTCCTGTGCAAGGATATTGACTTTTACTTCAAAATCGTCTCAGCTATGCTTTTGTATCCTATGCGTGCCTAGTGGGGTGCTTCGCCTTAGTTTTCGTTTGCCATCTAGGTGTTCTTTTATACGGATACACAAAGGTCTGCCCGTTCTGCCAATATATTGATCTCCGCAATTATTACAAGAGATCAGGTATATCGTACCTGAACTCATGCAATCACCGTCCCTGCCGTAAGGGCAAATTACGCAATTTGTTGTTTCACACAGACGGTCATACAGGCGGTTGCGAACTAATTGGCGACGTAGAGTAGCCGGTGGTATTTCAACTATCGCTACCGATTCCTTTAGACTTGCCCTTCTTAAGCATCGTTTTATAGCTACGCTTACTTCATCGCTTATAAAAGGCAACATGAACGGGACTTTAAGGCTTATCTCTGTTTTATTCTACTCTATTGAATTTTGGTTTAAATGAACAGAATGCAAGTATTTTAATGATTGTATTTCTGTGTTGATTTATAGCAAAAGTATACATTGTAAAAGTTGGAAGTTTTGAGGATGATGGTGCATATAAAAAGAGTGTATGGTAAAAGTTACAACTTTAACATGCGGCTATTTGAGATTACTGTCACGGATCTCCCTCTTATGAGGGATCTCGAACCGACTAGTAGACAGGCTATGTGCCGCATCCTCACGTGACGAAAGGGAGTTAATTGCGGACCAAAAGCGGTTTTTGCCTTCTTGAGGCGCAGGTGGATCCGGGGGATGGAGTCCTTGTTTCTGCTGCGCCTATTTGGCAAATACCTTTTGTACTTCCGAAGGCGTATTCATGGGTGCGTGTGTTGATGTGTTCTCGTTTATGTGGATTGTATTTTACGAGACAATTAGGCCAAAAACCTGCAATCAAGTGATAGGGAAGTATCTGTGAGGTGGTTAGGAGACGCCTCCAAAATAAGCTCCATGTCTACTCTGAGGTAGAATGCGTGGGTATACCTAGCCTCCACGCCCAGAGTTCAGTACGACATACGTGGGTGTCAAAAAGCTAAACGCAGTAAATAGACGGGCCACATTCCGATTACTCCGAAAGAGCTCCGAATTCGGAAGCGGTGGGCAAGACGAGTACGGAAAGGCGACTAAGATCTCAAAGCCATTCTAAGCTGCCTGGATCACGAAGAACTACGGTAACGATCTGTACCTGCAATGCATGTACCCTTGCATCCGAGTCCTCGATGAAAGACTTGCTCATGCATGCAAAAAGGATAAGGTACGATATCATCTACCTGGCCTAGACGAGACGACGCCACTCAACGCTGTCTATGACACCGGAGAAAAACTGCCCCTTGGAACATGCGGCAGTAGAGGAGTGGGCGTTCTCGTCAACACGAGTTCGTCCACGAACATCGATTCATTCGAACAACTTACGATCCGAATCGGACGTTTACGTTTGAAGAGATGTGCATCAATGCCGGCTTTGACAACCTTCATTGTCTACGCGCCGTCATCAAACTATGCCGAAGAAAAAGTCGAAGCGTTCTATATGGACTTGGAGAAGTTCTACAGAGAAGACCATACATTCTTCAAGGTCATCATTGGAGATTTCAACGCCAAGATTGGGCCAAGAAGAACGTCTGAAGAACGTCACATTGGGACCCATGGATTGGAATAGAACGAACAGGGTGAGCGGCTATCTGAGTTTATCATGGCGACCAAGACAATCCATGGTAACTCACAATTCCGGAAGCTCCATTCCCAATGGTGAACTTGGGAGTCTTACATTCGAGAGTACCATGTTGAAATAGACCACACCATATTTCGAAACCGACCTTCCTTGACTCGGTATCAATAATCAATATGTATTCTTTCTTTGATGAGCTTACACGAGGTTGATAATGATATTTATTCATTTTCGGCTAACGTTTCGACGTCTTCGTCTTCCTCAGAGCCGATGATCCGAGTCGATGGTCCATGCTTGTTGTTCTTCTCGACGTTGCAGCTTCCCCTTCGTGTCGAGTCAGGTCTTCCTTAGTGAGCCGTCTTCTCGAATGAGGCATCCTCATTCAGTGATGCCCTTTTATACACAATGCTGATGGTGGTTATAATGATAATGTCCGGTAGTAACAATTTGTATTTCTTCCGGACATACATCATTGCGCCCATCGTGCAGAAGTCGGTGTTTTTATCAGCTAGCCCAAAGCGTAGTAATATTTCGAAACCGACTTCCCTTGAACCTCGGTATCAATAATCAATATGTATTCTTTCTTTGATTCTTTCTTTGAGGCGAAGCTGCAACGTTGAGACGAACAACAAGCATGGACCATCGACTCGGATCATCGGCTCTGAGGAAGACAAAGACGTCGAAACGTTAGCCGAAAATGAATAAATATCATTATCAACCTCGTGTAAGCTCATCAAAGAAAGAATACATATAGACCACACCATAGAAAATCGAAGGTTTTGCCTAAGTGATATTGCTGTTGTACCAAAATTCTACGAGCGATCAGACAATAGTTCCTTTCACCCAAGCTTTTATTTCCTCCGGGAATGAGAAAAAGCCGCCAAGTCCAAAAAACGAATTTCCAAAACGGGATTTATTCAATTCACTAGTTGTCTGTTGGGATGATGCCGTTCTTGATAACATCGACGAGGGATACGGGAAGCCGATTGAACACCATCACTATCTTTACTTTTCTGATGAAATCGTCCTTATAACACTAAACATTAGCCAGTGGGGACCAATGCTTTCCAGCTTTGATTAAGCCTGTGGAAGAATTGGTCTTCAACTAAATCTCGCAAAAACAATGTTCATGAGGAGTAGATTGGTTACGTATGCCCCATTTACGCTCAACGGATTGAATATCTCGGAGCGCTGCTTTTACGTCTATCTAGGTCGAGAAATCAACATGACGGATGATCAACGAAGCTCCGGAGTTGGAACGAAGCGAGCGGCATAGGGAGCTTTCAGGAGCATCGAGGGTGTAGTGAAGTGAACAAAGAACACTCGACTCCTCGCCCACCTTTCGAACTTCGCGATACTTCCTGCCTTAACGTATTCATCAGAAACCTGGTCGCTACGTAAACAGAATGCAGGATGACTCCGCGTTTTTGAATGCGTTGTCGAAAGAATGATGCTAGGACTATGCCATGTCACACAAGTAGGAGAAAGGATGCGGAACTCCGATCTTCGTCAACAATCAAAAATCAAAGATGCCGTTCTGTACGCGAAACAGTCGAAGATAAGATTTGCCGGATACATAATACATATGAACGACAACCGATGGACGAGAGCCGTTAGTGGCTGGTTTCTTCTGGATGTCAGAAGTACTGCTGGAAGACCACCGAGCTGATGGTCAGAGTTCTTCACGAAATGCCTAGAAGAAAAGTATGATGCTCGTTGAGCCTCTAGGGCTAGCAGAACCAAATGGGCCACTCTCGCACGCGACAGGGTTATATGGAAGATTTACTGGCGACCTGCTGGAGTCATTGGACTTTCAGTGGGGCTACAAGTGGTACAGGTGACTGTATAGACGCGCAATGCTTGCAGTTCCAGCTCATTTACATGTTGGAAACAAATAAGAGCAAGTTTGCTCAGTTACCATCTTATCATGCCGATAAATTGTCTCCATTTTCCGAATTTCGGCATTCAGCTCATAACACATGGCTGTGAACACTGCGGTATTCATATCAGATTGATAAACTCGTCCGAATTTGCCTGCTATCTCTTGAACAATGCAACTTTCTTCGGCGTACAGTGGCGCAATATGTGCATTGTATAAGCTTCTCTTCTCAAAGATTATAAAGTCAGCGCACTGAAGCGACTGCGCCTATAGTCTGTCAATGAGTATTTATTTACCTAGCAACCCCACATTTTACGATCTCTTCACTTGGACGTAGATACGCTTGACATCCTGTGGGATCTAGTCGGTGAAGGTTGTTGTTTAACGGTCGTCTTGAGGACGCAATGCATGTCAGGCATCTTGCGTTTTAACGTGTATAGTGAAATTTCGGATCTCTTATTGTCTAAGTAGGTGGCGATTTCGGATTCCTTACGTCACTTCCGCGGCACTGGATACCCCTAGAATCGCCGTTTTGACAGCGCCGAGTGATGTTCCATCCTACTTGCATGGCGCCCAAGTCTGAGACCGGTAGATTAAGGCAGTAAGAATCGTAGAGTTAGGAAAAGTGGGCATGGAATAGCCTAGTTTCCTTCACCATAAACGAGCTTACCAAATTGGAAGGTATGGAGCTGAGATGTTCACCTAACTTCGCTATCCATCTACTTTTAGTTGCATCACTCAGAGGTATTCGTTGCATTGTACGTGAATGGGATATACAAAGAGTACAACGTAGGATGGAAGAATTCCGCCTGATAAGTTTTTGTGTGAAGAAACCCTAGCACGCGCTTCTCGAGATTCCTACGAAATGAAATTTTGCTCGGTCTGCAAATTGCAAGTTAAGTCGAAATTCTTCTGTGACCTAAGCCGTTCTTCGTGAGTACGAGCTACTAAAGTATTCAAGCAAGTAGGTTGGTATCTAGTTCATCAACTAAATCGATGGTTTTTTTAGTTCGCGAAAGTGACACAAAGTGGGACTTTCTGCTCTCACCATACTTCAATGGGGTTGATCTTTTGCGTGTAAATGTAAACTACTGTGCAGGATAGTTTTTGTGAGCCCGATTTATCGTATGGCCTTTCACACAGTAATCAGTCAATATTAGGGATGTTTTGGATCGATCGAGGAAACAACTCTAGAGGTACACGCACTAGCCAAGTAAGGTGTTGGTTGGTCACATCCTGCATTTTGTTAACGTATGAAGACCCGAGCCACCGGATTGTTGAAGAATGGTTGAAGTCTCTACAAATGTTCGGGTTTAATCCTCTCTGGGCGGTGTACTGTGCCGGAAGGACGTTGCAGCTTGGGATGAAGTGTCCATCCTTCCTCGCCTATATAGAAAGTGAGTTTGTTTTCACGGTTCATGAGGTTTTATTTGAGATTTCTTGACCTGTGGATTTCTCCTCTTTACAACGCTCTGCTACAACATTCCTCTTTGTGCAACGAGAAGAGCCCTATGCGAAAGCGACGATTATTCGATTTAGACCACTGTGTTCTTCAGATGCAATATTGAAGTTACTAAGGACGATCTTGTAAAGTTTATGTACTTTCCGTCAAACTGTGTACTTTCTGTTAAACTCCGTATACTAAACGCGTCCATGTACTGCCTCGTTTTCGTCGTAGTTTGATGATAGTGCATTGGCTAAGATCTGGCGTGCCAACATTCTTCCAAAGTTTTCACTCGTAGACTTCTGGTTCGGTTGTTGTTAACTGTTCAATGGAATAGTTGTTTATAGCTGGGCTGGTGTTGACGGCGACATCAGTGCTGCCTGAGCTGACAAGTATAGTTTTTAGGAAATGTAATATTATGGAGCGAAAATCATTTATCTTTTTCATTTATTGTGTGTTTTGTGCCGATGCCACAAATATTTTGGTTAGATTTTTAATTAATGATCTCGTTCCTTTAGGCAAATTACGAAAAAACGATCTGCGATTAATGATTCGTATAGTGATTTTAACTGAAATGGACGTAATATAGCAAGGTCAAGTTCAGGTGCTTTTGATGGATTCGAACGCAGAATAAAAAAGCAGTCATGGAAGATAATCGAACTTGTACGTACATCTTTGCACTTGAGCTCGGACGATCTCAAAGTAGACGGAAGAATTTCTGAACTCGTAGCAATCTCCATTTCACTGGTACTACGCATAGATCGTAACGCGGTATCTTTTATTTCTAATTGCTATCTCTAATATGGACATCGTGTTTTGTTTTTACAACAGTTGGTCGCTTTCTATTCTATTCAGTGTCAGTGGTTTTATCTCAACTGTTTTGCACTGTTTTGCTGAATTTACAGTCACTTTCAGAGGTCTCAACTAAACAAGTTCTCAAACGCGTTCATTAGGTGTCTTGAAAAGTGCCTACAATCACCTGTTATTTGTCGCATTATCATTTCTGTGCTTATCAAGATTCTTCAGTTCTCACCAGGTAAGCGTGCTTTAGCTTTGTTGTCTTCGTGTTTGTCTTCTAAAATTAGTACTCTAATACTTCAGCCAAACTTCAAAGTTATTTGCCGATGTTTTACCATAGTTATACCCGACGCTTTTTTATTATTGTAATGAAACCCACGTTTACAGTACCGTTGAAATTATTTCATTCATAATAAACCAATTACAGAGAAGGTGAAAGACATATGGTTTGTCATAAACCATGATGGAATTGCGTGTATTCTTGAAATTGTTTATGCCCTGCTTCGGCAGAGTTGTAGCTTGAATACTGAGCATTCCTTCATGGTCAGAAAGCTGTGCAAACTTCTGGGTACCGTGCCGACAACGCAATATAGTGACCAAGTACACTTTTAGAGCACTAGGACTCATGTTTAATTGATTGCGTATACTCATTTTTAGTGGTTGCCCTTACTTTTCAACGTGTGCGAAATCCTTATAAAGAAGAACGTTGAACTTGAAACGATAGACGCAGTGCTCCGATTACTTGTTCACAATATAAAACATCGTCCATGTCCCTCATACGTGTCTGCGATCATAGGTTTTTTGTGCATGGATAGCGTATATGAGGTGACAGTTTGACTTAGTTTACAAAATGAATTGGCCTTCAAAAGGATGTAATCTAGGTGCGTCATTGTATTTTCCGATGGTTCACTGAGATGCTCAACGACGAACTACGTGTCCCCGTTAGTGTGGTTATGCCGCAACGGCTGGCAGAGTCTCCGACTGCTAATGGTCAAACGATCTTCGTGCAAGATTCTTTTGCGCAAACTGATGGTAGAAAAGCGGTAAGTAGGCGAAGTGCTAGATTTAAGAGGCCTGTTAGCTGCATCGGGAAATATCCAGGTTGAAGAAACCCTTTGTTGGATCAGTATGGTCACATTTAGATTTGTAACTTTGTTGAATTTTCTACAATGTTCCCGTTCAGAAGACCCACCAGTGCTGTTTTACTGCCAAAGGTATAAAAATTAGAACGGTGTGGCTCTTTGTTGTCTTTATAAATAAAGGGTGCTCATGAAATCTAATGTTGTGGTCTGCCATACCATCTTTATAGCAACCACGTTAACAAGGAGTGTAACTGCTCCACGCAAAAATGCCAAAGTTGTGTTATTTTTTGCTATCACCGGGACTTTCATGAATGGTTTTTTGTGTAATTTTGATCACTTTACTACCCATGTTCAGCGTAGAACGTTGTATCTTCGTCCTTTTTTCTGTCCTCCAAGATGTGTGGTCTTACTTTTGCTGTGGAAATGTACTCAGTTGAAAAGGTTTTGTGCTCTTAAAAACAGCACTTTTTTCGGTCATCGAATGTTTAATACTATTAATTCCTCTGCGAGAAATAATTCATCATTTACCTCTTTACATGTCTTTTGAAGTTGATAATGATCATATGTGTATCATTCCCACAAGTGTGTTACACCAATATACTACAAACTATCGATCCTGACTTTAATATAGGAACTGGCTTTTCTTAACAATGTTCTGTTCACAAGGAAAAAAAAACCGGAATAGAATAGGCTTCATGACCAGAATTATGTTTGTGTGCAAAGGAATCAATGCTACGCCATAATGGAGATAAAGAGACTCGTAGAGATAAAGTAGATTTTTCGGACGTTGGTGTTGAGTTAGAGTTATTCTGCAGATATACAATTATTTTAGACTGAATCAAGTTCTCCGTATTGTAGCTCTTCTTCAGTTGTTGGAGAAACTTCTTCTGAGCAGTACTTCTCAAGGTACTTCACCATTATTATTTTCTACATTTCTATTTGATTACTTCTTATCCATGCTTGGTACATTCGTTATTGCACAAGTTCCTCAACAGCTGCCGGTAGTTTCCCGTTGACTTGAAATCTCGCTTACAACTTCGCTGCTCGAGATACGAGTTCTTACAAAAAAAAGGGAAAATAGAGTAATTTATGCGCTCCAAAAGTTCAGGATTTGATTTTCATAAGACTAGAGTTTTTTTTTATTGTTACGAGAATTTCTATATTTTAGTTCTTTTAAATTCAATCATTGAAATCTATTTTGAGATGAGACACTTGTTTAAACACAAAGAGCTAAATCATTTTCACCCACTTATGGGCATTGTTCTGAATGTTTGTAAAAGAGTACCATTAACAGTGAAAGGAACAGTAACATGATAGCATGTTAACTCACAATTTCGATGATGTCGTACTTTGCCGTGCGTTGTATTACTGTCTTTTACGTGTTTACCTAAGAGACATTGGGCCTTTGTTTGTTCTATCATCAACCTGAAACTTTATTAACTTTTTTCTAATCTTCTCTGACATTAATTCATTAAATTATTTCTATCAGTCGTTGTCCTCTGTCACTTTATAAACGTATCATTGTAGAAATACTGAGCGTCGACGAGAGCAATCAATAGTCCAAAAGAAGAATTCGAATTCGCAAATTATAAATGAACATCTCGACGTTGCAAGATTGGGATGCAGCCAAGGTTAGAATGCTTTCCTTTGTTTGTTGAAACCTTTGTCCCACTTAACATGCGCATACTATAATTTTTAACGAGTCTCTTCTGAATGCTCGTATACGAAGGTCATGAGTTCCAGACATTTCCAAACATATGCGCCTACAGTATTTGTAAGTGTTCTAGACGTTTTGTTATAAATTAATAGTCACAGTACAAAAACTGTTGTGTAGATCTATGCTATATCAATCTTAACTTTTTTCTCTGCGTTTTTTGCCCATAATTGAAATGTTTTTAGATGCCCTACAAGGTGGTTAGATTCTTGAGCAATGGTTTTTTGTAATCAAGAACATTCGGCATAAATGTCATCATTAAGGCTAATAGGAAGTAAAAAGCACTATTCTCTGGGGATAGATTCTTTATGGAAGGTGTAATTACTTGGATACTTGGACGGTCCGTCCTCATTGATTGTTCGTACCCCAGCATAATCTTCCATTGTTCAAGACTGGGAAATGTCTGCCTCAGATCGTTAACACCACAACTAGTCGCCGCCGTTTTGGATCAGTGAAAGATTTACCACCATGCGACTCGTTTTATACCAGGACGGTGGTTGATTATGGTATTTGGTTTACTCTTCGTTTGATTTCCGGATGGAAACGCCGGACTCCTCAGCTTGAGAGACTCTGTCAGGGGATGAATCAATCCCTCCTCCTGCAGTACATCGCAGCTCGTCACCCGTGAAGCCCACTCACGGTGAGGCGATAAATCGTTGGGAGACGAAGGTGTAATTAGTTGATTTAATGCAATCAATACGGGTTTGGTGGGTTCTACTTAGTGAGTCCTTGGTAAGTTGAGTAATTATGCCTCTGTTGAAGACCTTATGGAAAAGACTATGGGAAAATTATCTAACGACCTGCTTAGCCATGTGTGCAGGTAAGAGTGGTCATCAGTCGTCATCAGCATTGTCCATTGAGTTATTTATAGGGATCTGTACGGATGGCAGAAACAGTGTAGCTAGTTGAATTTGATGTTTGATCAGACCGCATGTTGTGCTTAAACTTCTTTCTTGAGCTCAATAATTGCAATCTGCTCACTGGGAATTAAAGATCATAGCCACCAATCGTATCTTCGTAAACATCGTTTTTATGACATTTAGTCGAAGACTATTCTTTCCACAGGCGTCAAAGTTGGCTGGCGTTCGTTCTGCTTGCTTATGCTGTTCCGTCTAGCTAATTCTCGATGTTATGAAAACGATATCATCGGAAAGGGAATGTGGTTGAATTGTCGACCATCGATCTTCACTCCCATGTTGTCCCATTCGTGTTCGTACGACATTCTCGAGGGTGGCAGTAATTAATTTTGGCAAGATTTTATCACCCGGCCAAACTCTTTTTATCTTAGTAGAAGAATGGTATTTTTGTTGTTAAAGTTTTATGTAGCTCACAAGGAATCTTTGTATACTGATTAGGACGCTCTTGCTGTCCTGAGAATTCTTCGTTGCTTCTGTCTCAACTGAGAGAAAAGTCTTTCTTAAATCGATGGAAAAGAGACAGCGGTCTATTGTGCTCTTGTGATACTTCAATGAGTCTAGTTATCGTGTGATTCTGGTCCATTATACTGAGTCCTTTTCGAAAATCTGCTTACTCCTATGCCTGTTCTTCATGCAGTGTTCTGTCAGTTATGCTTAGGATGACTCGTGTGAAGAGTTTGTAGATGACAGACATCAAGCAGGTCGTTGCATTCTGATAGGTAACGTGTGGTTCTGACACGTAGTGTGGCCAGCTTGTTGAAGAGGGTTGGTGGAAGTCCTTCGGGTGTTCAGGTCTTGTTCTGTCCTGACCAGTTCTTCACTGGTGAAATAGCATGTCGAATTTTTGAGTGGAGAACCGATGGGATGATCTATCCTCTAAATTGAAGATAATAAATCTTAGTTAACGGTGGTTCTGGGACTTCGTTCTTTGTATTTAGTGGTTTTCTCTCTTTTTCCGAGAGTAGGCATCTGGTACGGGCGTCTAGAACGTTTAGACAATATCGGTTAGGCATGACCTTCAATTTACCGTGATGCGGTCTATGGTACTCTCCATTGTGAGACTCCCACAACCAATGTTGAGAGTGGGGCTTGTGAAATTGCGAGTTATCGTAAAAGGTGTTGTATTTCTTGACAAACTCAGGTTGCCAGACATCCTGCTCGTTCCTTCCTAATCCGTGGGTTCAAAAGTGACTTTTTTCAGACGTTTTTATGCGTCCAACTTTATAAGTCATCTTAGAGAATTTATGGTCTTTTGTGTAGAATTTCACTAAGTCCGTCCGTTCATCGTTGTTAGAATATCGATGTCTAGACGACGAAGATTGGCGAAGTCGGTATTGATCCAAACCTCTTTAGCCGTTAGCGAGTTGTCGATTATTCGAATGAATCAATGTTCATGGATAAACTCGTGTTAACGAAAACGTCTACGTCGCCAAATCTGCTACTATCACATGTGCTGAGGAAAAGTTTTTTTGCAATATCATAGATAACTGCTAGACAGGCGAAACAAAGGACCCGCATGGTGTGGTGGTGAACGCGTTAGCCTCCGGAAAGGGTAATAGCGCGTTTGTTTTCCACCGCAGACACCTGCGGTCTGGAGTTTTGCAAATATCTCAGCATCATTGAAGTTATGAGGATAAAGGATAATGCTCTCGTCGTTGATCAATTCCTGAGGGATGCACCATGCATTCGACTTCATTAAGTATCGCTGGAGGTGATTGAATGCCTATCTGGCCTTTACAATGACTCGTAGTGGCCTACCGATGTAGCGAACCAGTGCTGCTACAAATCTGGTAACAATTTTCCCGACCCCGGAGGAATGGAGGGCTTGGTGGGCCACGGGCGTGGGGATCAGTTCCACGTGTGTCGCCGTGGTGCCTCCAACCACTGCGCCAGACGCGCCCATTTAAGTTATATTTCGCAATATACGCTGTTATTAAAAAGGGCAGACAGTAAATAATAACTTAAAGTTGTGATTATAACTACAGCCGCAGCTTAACTAGATTCGTTGCCGATTTGGGCTCCCTAGATCAGTCCCGTTGAAGGGTAATGGCTGATGGCGTTGATCGATAGAACTTGCTGAGAGACAGGCGAAACGAAAGACCCGCATGGTGTGGTGGTAAACGCGTTACTCCACGGAAAGGTTAATAACGCGTTCGTTTCCCACCGCAGACACCTGCGGTCCGGAGTTTTCCAAATATCTCAGCATCATTGAATTTGTAGACAGCGTTGAATAAGCGGCCTCATCTCCTCTCGTTCAGTACAATAAATTCATGTTTTGAACTTCTTTCCTGTGTTGTGAGGTCTCCTATTGAACGCCCACATGCAAGTGAGCATTCATTGTAGGTACAATTTTTACCTTATTCCTTCAAGATTTACGCATCTCAGAATAGCTCAGATTTTAACAGCCTCTCCATACGCGTCCTACCCGACACAGCCGTATCGGGGGTCCTTTCGGGGTGAGGGGAATGAAGCCCGCCCACTTATTTTACTGTACTTAGCGTTTGATATCCACGTGCAACTTGCTGAGCTGTGACTGTGGGGGCTGGTCGTGCTCACGGATAGCTTTCCACTCTCTCCCGGTGTAGAGGAGAAGTTTATTTCTAGGACGCGGCTCCTAACCGCCTTCCATATACTCTCCAGTCACTTTATTGAAGGCTTTCAGCCGAATAGACTTTTTGAATGCAATCCGCATAGATGGGAACACATGTACGGACGTATGCATGAATATATCTCCGTCAACACAGAAGGTGTGTTCAAATCGGCGCATCAGAAGCAGCGAGTCCATCTCCTGGGGAGAGCGGGCACCTGCATCTTACAGAAAGATAAGGTCACTTTTGGACAGCATTTAACCATCCAAACGTCGTAACCTTGGGGCCACATAGCTATGAGATTAACCGGCATGTTATCGCTCTATTAGAGAGATTCGTAGTGTTAGAAAGTATCTGCTGTGACCACAGCGATGCTCAGATGTTTACAAAACAGGGAACCCCAGGTCCGATTCGAACCTGCGATTACTATTTCTGTGGGTATTGTCAGGGTGAGAAACTAACTGAGAGAAGGGCAAAGCGGGCGCTTCGATGGTTCAATGGTATAGCACATGAACCCACAGAGAGTGGCCCGTCCTCACTGATTGTGCGGACCCCAGCATAATCTCCATTTTTTGGAGATTTGCTGGTTAGGCCATTATGGTTCCCTGGAGTCTCGAGGTCAGCTTGGCCAAAGTCTGCCTCAGGTCTTCACCACCACAGGCAATCGCAGTCCTTGTGGATCAGAAGGAGATTTGTCACCATGCAACTTTGATACTGGGACGGTGGTGAATCCTGGTATTGGTTTACTCTTAGGTTTCCCTGATGGAAACGCCGTACTCCTCAGCTTGGGAGACATTCTCTGTGGGTTCACGTGTTACACCACCGCACCATCGAAGACCTTACCAGGGAAGAATCCCCGCTGTACATCGCAGTCCGACACCCAGGAAGACCTCCGAGCCATGATGAGGCGGTAAACCGTTGGGAGGACCGTATGTGACCTTATTTCAAATTAATATAGTTTTACTGTTGAGAACCGACTATGTCGCTGTTGTTACGGCAGATGCGCTTATGTGCTGTACAACATCTGTTACTTCAGGTGCATTTTCCATTTGCAACCCTCAGTGTAATTTTCCAAGAGAGGGCATAACGCTGTCATTGTGGATCAAAAGGCTTCTATGTAGAAACCAGGTTTGTATTAATTTGTATTGTCATCATTTCTTCTTTGTTTTCAGCAGATTATTAATCTAATAAGAATTTCTTTGCCAGCTCGCTGATGACTACTTAAAAGTTTCTTATAGCAGAAGCTATGTCAGTCAATAAATATCGTGTAGTACTTTAAAATAATTTTTTGATTATACTCTTCCATTGACAAGCTAACACGAAGTTAATAAAAAACTTTATTCGACTAATGTTTCAACGTCTTCGACTTCGTCAGAGTCGATGATCCCAATCGTTGGTCCGCAATCGTTCGTACTTACGATGTGGTTCCTTTATCGTCGTATCGAATCGAGTCTTCTTCAGTGGAGCGTCGTCTTTTGAAATAATCTTTTTAAAGTTGGTTTTGTAGCGAAGTGGACCGCATCGTTTTTTTTAGTATATTTCCTTGATTCCAAGAAAAGGTGCTCATTTGTTATTTATGCTGCTCGAGTTACTTAGTTTCCGTAAGAAAAGTTTGTGAATATAATTAAGTCGGAACACCTGTTAAGGTTTTATATTACAGAATGGTCGTTTTTGAGCAGAAAGTTCGGATTGCTATAAAAAAATGTCAGATCCCGTTTTTCAATCAAAATAAGGAGCATCGGAAATAATCTACTTTCGTCGGTGTATAGACATTAGAGCGTCTGTATAAGATACTGGATCTTTATTTAAAACATTACCCGTCTTCATTCTTCTATTTGATTTGTTTCCTCGCATCAAAGAAGGTTTTCGAAGTTTTTTTTTGCGTGTTGATTCGGCTGCTGCTTGAGGATTTTCACCTTTTTGCGAATATCGTTCAGTGCTGATGGAGTCGTTTCTTCTTAGAATTATGGGATAGCCATGTTAGAGGTTCCCAGACAGATTGGATTGAGTGCGATGATCCAGAATAGGTCTAGCAATAATTTCCTGACCCCAAAGCAGTGGGATACTTCCAGAAACCGTTGCGGGATTGAATTATTACTGTCGTCATGGAATGGCATCACTACCGCTGCTCCAACTCTACCATCCTGTGATTTGGTCTTTGAATTGTCTAAAAGTTGTCGACGACCTTATAAAATGACGGCAAAATTTTTTTGCCGACAAAATCTTCCAGGTGGCTGAAGAGATGTCGATTTGTTCATAAAATATGAGGCACGTAAGAAATATGGGGAAAATTTCGGTACTCTCCACTATTTGAGCTTGTCAGCTACCACATGTTCAAAATAAGGACGCTGTTTCTCGTATTGGAAAATTAGTTTTCTCGGTAGACTGATTTAAACTTTTGCGACGAATTATCCTTTCCTTAATTTTCATCTCATCACCCCTAATTTTACTCTATCATTTTATTAGGATCACGGACGTGAGCAGTATACTTGGAATCTATACAATATATATTTTTAAGGATTCTAATTTTCAAATTTAAGTTCACAGAACCAACAATGAATGTTCATTCGTTGAGGAAACAGAACATTGTCGCTTTGGACACATACTTCAGCATATGTCCCAAGTTTCATATTGATTCATGCTAAAAAACTGGGGAAAGACAGTGTAAGGATGGAAATACATGCATTTAAGACAAAGCTACAAATAAAGTCATGTGCGACTCAACGGACTGAAATGATT